TACAAGAAGTTGAAGAGATGCTAATTCTTGGTTCACAGGGCAATTAAAATTTTGTTTTATCTTCTTGTTATATGCGTTTATTACAAATTTTAAAACCTAATTTTGTTTATATGTGTACCTATATTTAAAGGTATGAATATTATATTACAACCTCATTTCCCATGTGCAATATTTAAGTCCAATTTGGATCAACCCCACCCACATCTTATTAATATTGAATACAAGTCATGAAAACCTGTCCTCTGTAATGACTTGAATAATATATATATATATATTAATATTAATCCTTTTCAAGGCACTTATCATATGACGTATTGTGGATTAATCAATGAGTCAAATGACCACTACTAAATTAATCAATGAGTCAAATGACCACTACTAAAACCTAATCGTCTCTTTCCCCAACTTTGGATTTAAAGATATTAACTAGAATATTAATTATAAAGTTTAAATTAGAATAAAGCAATAAACTTTATTAAAGAACTGGAATTAGGTTTTTCAACTTTCATATAATGAGCTTTTTGAATTCAAAAGAGAATCTCGATGTTTGTTTTTTATAAAATTAAAATCAAGGAGGATCAAAGTTCGAGACGAAAAAATATTAATTTAAATTAAATTGACAATCTTAATTTGAAGTTAACTTTGAAAAAACTTTGAACCATTCTGTCAAAACTTAGTTAAGTAAAATCATTATCCCATAATTTTTTGTACTTTTTAATGTCAACAATAAGAATCAATCTTTTCAACCACATTGCATTCAGTTTCACCAAGAGTTCAACACAATGTCAACAACAAATTACCAACCAAAAAATTTAAACAAATTGACCGAAAAATTAATCAAAAATTAGAAACGAATAAAGTGGTAAAAAATTCTTATACATACAGATTTTGCTAGTAAAATACCACGTTGATTTGCTTAATTTTCTTTGAATTTTTATTATTATTTTTTTTTACCTTGACAAAAAACTCGAACCCTAGTTTTGCTCATATGAAAACTTGAACCATCGATTTACTTGAGATTGATCGTAATTTGCTTATTTTTAAATGATAAAAAATGACCAAATAGCATCTAACTCAATGATATAATATCTCTATCCTTAAAAAAAAGGACGGGAGGAATTCGAGTCCAAGTGTGAACAAAAAAGTGTGTATGAATGTGTTTTTTAGCTCAGGTAAAGAAAATTTAAAAAATAATTAAAAAAAAAAGGCCAAAAATGTTGACAACTCCAAAAGAAATTACATGGAATAATCATATTTTCATAAGCAAATTCCTAAAATGAGAAGGCAATGAGAAAACAACTTCAATTGATTAAATATTGATGAAGGTCACATTGAAGACCCCATTATTCAATTTAGAAGGAGAAGTATCACCATGTGCAATATATTAAAGTAATTGGACGATCTTGTCCTCTTCTTTATTAATTATGTCACCACTAATTAAGTATTATTGTCTAATCAGTAATCACATACTTATCTTGCAATTAGAGAATCAGTTATACTTCTGGTTACTGTGTATTTGATATAATTTACGTATCAAGGGTCAGTGCTTTGATAATTGAAGCAGAAATGGGTGCTTAGGGCCTAAATAGTGTAAAATAGAAGGATTTCATCTTAAAAGATTAAGAAGATTAATCCTGCTCATGATCACAAGCTTAATTAACTTCTTAAAGCAATATTAAACATTTACCATAATTTGATAAAATGTGTGATTTGTGTACGTTGTCTTAGAAAAGATTGAAAAACTCAAATTTTGAATCAATAATTTTTAAGATTTCTTTTTTAATAATACAATATTACCGATTATGAAGCACCACGGGGACCAATGAATATTCATCATTTTCATTGTAATTAGGAAATGATTACTTGTCATTAGTTAAAAAATTATTATATGGTCTAACACTACATAATCTCGATCAATCATAATTCAACACATCGGATGGCCGGCCGAAATCTTGTACCCCAACCATATAAAACTTTCTCAACATTAGTTGGAGTACTACATAATGAATACTTCACCAACTTTAGAGTCTAAGCATTTATTTAAGTGCCCAACAAGATAAATAAAATAAAAAATAAAATAAAATAACAGGTGCCACCTAAATTTGAGGAAGAACTAAGAACTATTGGAAGTCACTTCCAAATTAAGAAAGGGATGCTTTAGTCAAGAGAAGCAGTGATCCTCCTATGCATAATATAAGTGTACATTTATTGCTACTCCATCTTCTAACCCTTTTTTTTTCACACGGATAATTAATTCTATAGTTTGATGTTTTATTTTATTATATTTTCTTGAACATTGTTGAGTTGTCGCCTAATTTTATTTAATTGTCTCGATCTGAGTTTGGTAAATATGATAATCGATTCAACATTGATTATCCATTTGTAGGTATTGCCAAACTTTTCTTACCATTTACCATATATATCTCGGAGAATTCACCAATTCTAAGTACAAATACAAAATACAAAGAGATACATACAAATTACACATGTAAAATCACCATATATTATATATGACAAATGAAAGAAACTAAAATTTGAGGCAAAATTAAGAATTCACTCAATATTAGGACAATTATATAAAACAAAAAAAAAAAAAGCACCATACAAGAAGAAAAGCATCTTTTGGTATATTATGATGTTTACAAGAAAGAAAAAAAACGAAAACTTAAAACAAGAAAAGACGTTACCACAAACCCACCACAACCAACCCCCAAGCATGAAGACAATCAAAGAATCCCAAAAAAAAAAAAAAAAAAAAAAAAAAAAAAAAAAAAAAAACCACATTTAAAATTTAAATTTTAGTGTTTTGTCTTGAACAAAACATACCCTTCACCAACAATTTAGAATTCGGGACAGACGTTACCACAAACCCACCACAACCAACCCCCAAGCATGAAGACAATCAAAGAATCCCAAAAAAAAAAAAAAAAAACCACATTTAAAATTTAAATTTTAGTGTTTTGTCTTGAACAAAACATACCCTTCACCAACTATTTAGAATTCGCGACAGAAAATAGGTTAATACAAATTTTATTCAAATTAAAATCAGGTTGCAACCCGACTCATATTGAAAATAAATTTGGACCACAATTGAACCAGACCAGAGACATGCTACTTTTAAATAACCATAACTTTTTGGAGCTTCTCTTCTTATATGGTAATATTTTTTTTAAAAATATGGTTGCTTTCACTTGTTTTGAGTAAATATTTTCAATAATTACATTAAAAAAAAAAATTGTGGAGGAAAAAACAACTTTGATGATAGTGAACGCAATATAGATCATTAGTTTTATAGGAAAAGTAATATTAAAATTCCTTTTTATATTGTTTTTGTGCCAAAATTATTATAGCATTGTACGCTATTGGATAACTAGGGTTACAGTGGTTATACTAATGTGTCTCTTTGCAAAATGAGGATGTGCAATATCCTAGTAGGGGAGTTACTCACATAACCGCAAAATTATATTTTACGTAATCTCGTTTTTATGTTTTATAATGTCATTTATTTTTTTTAAGATTCTAATTTATGTAATAGATTTCTTTTTGTATGACCATTTTATCTTTCTAATGTCTGAAACGACAGTAAACATTTTATAAATAAAATGGTAAAAAAAGTCATTAACAAGGGACTTGAGTAAAATTATGAAACTTTTAGAGAGTTTAGGCGGATATTAACAAATCCTAGGGAGGTAAATAGAATTTACCCAATTTTATAAATAAACAAATAAAATATATATATAAAAAAAAAAAAGAAAAAAAAAAAAACAGAGGTTGCTTTCACATGCTAAAGTGGCAGACAAACGTGCCCCAACAGAAAGTATTTTTTTAATTTGAGGCATTCATCAAGCAAAACGTGCCATAGACAATTGGATCAGGACAAAATAAACAAATAAAAACATAAATAAAAATAACTGCATACATATATTACTTTATTGTGAGTTGCTTTTTGAAAATATTTTATGGGATGATTGGCGGGGGTCCCAATCAAGAGTCAGAAAGATGCCACGTGACGACAACGCATACTTCTAAGCTAAAATGTTGGCACAGATTCATTTTCGGTTGACATATTTCGGTAAGAGAGAATTATTATTATTAGTATTATTATTTTTAAGGTAAAGAAGTATGATTTGTTAGATTAGTAATAGATGTAAAAAATTTAATTTTGAGAGACACTAATTTACGTAACTATTGAGGCAATTGCATGCAGAAAAAATCATGAATAATAATATTTTTCTTCTTCAAATTTAGAGAAACTGGTTTGGACATATTTCTAATTAAGAAGATGCACTATTTTTTATGAATTATTTTTGTAAAATATAGAATCAAAATTTCATTACAACTTTGATTTATATTGATTATATTCTCGTCAATTTTTCTAAACCTTTCTACCTTCTTTAACTGAATTTAACCAAATTAATAATCATTTGTCTTGTATATCATTAACTTTCGTGCTCCAAAATATAATAATTTAAAGAAGATGTATTGACAATAATGACTAACGCTAAGTAGGCTAAATAATTACTATCTCTTCTTTAAATTATCATTTGTCTTTAAATAGGAAAATAATTTGGGATGTAACAATTTGTTGATTAGGATAATAATTCAAAATAATTTAGCTTTCGAACTTTCTATTAGGACTCACCGAAATAAAAATGAAATTGAGTCCCCTGTGAGTCCACTTCAACTATTGGAAAAAAATATATATTTTAGATTATATGCCTTATCTTTTTTATTAAGTATTTATTGTTCTTATTTTATTTTAATTAGATAAAAGCAAGAGGTTTATCTATTATTTGACAAAAATAAAATAAAAATTTGAGACCGAGATTAAACGCGCCGACTTAAAAGAACCTTGTTCGCAATTAAATCGGTGGGCTTCCTAAAAATCGCCCGCTTTGTCCGCTCCCTATTAACCTCACTCTCTCCGAACTCGCTCACAGGCCCGACTAAAATTCACCTCAAATGTACCCCAAATTAATCCCAAATCCAAACGAAACCCAAATTTTCTCACCCCCAACAACACATCACAAAGCTATCAAATAATCTGAAAACCAAACTCCTCTCTCTCTCCTCCACCATTCCCAAATTCCCACCAGCCGCCTTCTCTCTCTCTCTCTCCTCCGACAACCCAGACACCGTCCACGTGTTCTCCCACCGGGAAAAACTACTTTCTACCATCAATCACTTCGGCACACACTGCCGTTTTCTCTCGCTAAATTTTTTTCTCTCTCTCTAACCTGGAGCACCGGTGGCCTGTACATGGAATGACGGACTACCGGTTACCGGCTATGAATATGTGGACGGACGACAACGCCTCCATGATGGAGGCCTTCATGAGCTCGGATCTCACCTCGTTTTGGCCTCCGCCGCCGTCCTCCGCCTCCACCTCCGCTGTCGTTGCTGACCCATCTAAAGCTCCAAACCCACCATCGCAGTCCACGGCGGTGTTCAACCAAGAGACCCTCCAGCAGCGCCTTCAGACCCTCATCGAAGGCGCCCGAGAGAGCTGGACCTACGCTATCTTCTGGCAGTCGTCGGTAGCCGATTTCTCCGGTGCGTCGATGCTGGGTTGGGGCGATGGGTACTACAAAGGCGAAGAAGACAAGGCTAAGCGCAAAACGGCGCAATCCTCGGCGGAGCAAGAGCACCGGAAAAAGGTCCTCCGGGAGCTGAATTCACTGATTTCCGGCAGCGCTGCTTCGACCGACGATGCCATCGACGAAGAAGTCACCGACACCGAGTGGTTCTTTCTGGTGTCAATGACTCAGTCATTTGTTAACGGAAGTGGGCTTCCAGGTCAGGCCTTCTTGAATTCGTCTCCGATTTGGGTCGCCGGAGCTGAGAGACTCGCGTGCTCGCCGTGCGAACGAGCGAGACAGGGACAAGTGTTTGGGTTGCAGACCATCGTGTGTATACCGTCGTCGAACGGAGTAGTCGAATTGGGTTCCACGGAATTGATTCTTCAGTCATCTGAGCTCATGAACAAGGTGAGGGTTTTGTTCAATTTCAATAGCATCGAAATGGATTCGTGGCCGATTCCGCCGGATCACGGCGAGACCGACCCATCACTTTACATCACTGACCCCTCGTCGTCTGGTGTTGAAATCAGAAACTCTGAAAACCCAACACCGTCGACTACTCTCCCATCTAACAATCATCAATTGCCGAAGCAAATCGTCTTTGAGAACCCTAACCCTAGTTCTAGTACTTTGACTGAAAACCCTATTGCAATTCAACAAACGCAAATCCAAAACCAGAGTTTCTTTTCTAGAGAATTGAATTTCTCTGAATATGGGTTTGATGGAAGTAGTGTTAGGAATGGAAATTCTCATCCGTGTAAGCCCGAAACAGGTGAGATATTGAATTTTGGAGAGAGTAAGAGGAGTTCTTGTAGAGCAAATGGGAATTTCTTTTCGGGTCAGTCACAATTTGGGGGAACAGAGGACATTAAGAAGAGGTCTCCGACCTCTCGGGGTAGTAATGAGGAGGGTATGCTCTCCTTCACTAACGGGGTGGTTTTGCCCTCCTCCGGCATGGTGAAATCGAGTGGTGGTGGTGTAGATTCGGACCATTCTGATCTTGAGGCCTCAGTGGTTCGGGAAACAGATAGTAGTAGAGTTGTGGAACCCGAAAAAAGGCCTAGAAAACGGGGTAGAAAACCGGCAAATGGAAGGGAAGAGCCCTTGAATCATGTGGAAGCTGAGAGACAGAGAAGAGAGAAGCTCAACCAGAGGTTCTATGCACTCCGGGCTGTGGTCCCAAATGTGTCGAAAATGGACAAAGCTTCACTTCTTGGAGATGCCATTGCATACATCAATGAGCTCAAATCGAAGCTTCAAACAGCAGATTCGGATAAAGAGGAATTGAGGAGCCAAGTTGAGACCTTGAAGAAGGATATGGGTCGTAAGGAGACTCAAAATCCAGCTCCACCACGACCACCTCCTGATCAAGAGCTAAAAATGTCCAACCATGGAAGCAATTCGATAGACATGGACATCGATGTGAAGATTATTGGTTGGGACGTGATGATTCGAATACAATGTAGTAAGGAAAACCACCCGGCTGCGAGGTTAATGTCGGCTTTGAAGGAGCTAGACCTTGATGTACACCATGCTAGTGTGTCTGTGGTGAATGATTTGATGATCCAACAAGCCACAGTAAAGATGGGGAGCCGATTTTACACTCAAGATCAGCTGAGGCAAGCCTTGTCGTCCAAAGTTGCCGATACACAATGAGCAATAGTGTAGATAGAGCTCGGCTAAAGCTTGTAGGACCACGGTTTCTTCATCATCAATTGGGTAAGCCTGCACATATTTGTTTCAATTTGATCTTGACAAGGTTTTTGGTATATACTGTGAGCTCTTGAGGAGATTTCAAATTGCAAAGCCGAGTGAGTTCGGCTTTTTTTCTTCTTGTTAGTATCCACATATTGTTTAGATTCCATGTATTCTGTGTAGTTTTAATGTATATAATAATCATAAAGCCCGATGAATTTTCGGGCTCTTATTCATGTTAATTAGAGTAGTAGGAGGTTGTGTCTGTAAGATGTGCATGAACTCTGCAACTTTATATGCGTTTGTATCATCTGTTCATGTATTTTCTTGGTTGATTTCAACATAAATGAAGAAGACAATTGCATTCAAGTTACTTTTATTATTATATTCTGCTTGTTTTGTTGGGTAGCTAGATTTTTTCTTGAAGTAGTCTAGTACGAAAAATCCAATTGAGAAAGACATGAACTTTGCATGTTTTTTTTTCTTCTTTTTTCGCTTTATATGTCAAGGCTATGTGTAGGCATCAAATTTAGAAATTGAATATGATAAGAGCATCAAATTTGTGAAAAAAAGGAATTATCAGTTAATTGATAGTGAACACAAAGACCCTTTGTTGTTTTGGAACTTTTTGCCCTATATAGATATTTAGGTACGCATATAGAGTGATGAAAGTTTTTGGGAGCGTATTGGGATTTATTGGGTTCCATTTTAGTATTTTATTGAACAAAATAATCATTTTAATACCCCATTTTTATTTGTAAAACCAAAGATGCAAGTGGGTTCGTTTTGAAAACCTTTTTCCATTTTCAGAAATTCAATTGCTACAACAAAGCCTTTAACATTTGAATACAATTTAATTTTGATATAATCCAGTTGCATGAAAATGCTAACGGTCAAGGAATAGACTAATAAGATATTGATGGAATTGTCTTCTTCTGATCCATTGCAGTAAAAGGAGATTATTCAGTTTTGGTCCTAACTGTCATAGCATGGAGAGGAAGACTCCAGACAAACATTGACTTGTTGTTCAAATGTTTAGCACGTGTGCTTTTTTGAACTGGGAAAGGACGAAAATTTTGAAGAAATGACGAACAATTTTGATGGATTCCAATTTTTTTAAATTTTTAATCTTTTATTAATGTCATTTTCAGGAAATTAGTTCCATAGCAGCTTCCGTAAACACTTTGGAAAGCACATTTTCTCTGTAGTTTCATTTTCTTCGTTTTTTAAAAAAAAAAAAAAAAAAATTTGAAAACAACAGTTGTCTGGCGGGCGATGAAACTGTTCCATTCAGAAAGGAAGCCATGTTTGAAAGATGCAGTGGCATAGAACTTGAAGGACGGCCCGAAGAATTAAGGGTGTGTTTGGATGGGATGATTTGGAGGGATAGAGAGAGAAAAGAAAAGATCAGATGAGACTCAAGTGTGTTGGAGTGGATTAAATGGATAGAAAAGAGAGGATAGGGAAGGATAAGCCCTATTCCTGAATTGCTATTTCCTCTCTATCCCTTATTTGCTATCACTCAAAATTGAGAAAAAAGGGAGAGAAAGCAAGTTTAGTTTAGTGGTATTTTGATAATACTAAAACTAGCATCCACAAATAAATATACAATTTTTTTGTTTGGAACCAGTTAACCACTTACGTTTATAAAAGGGTAGGAGAGTAGTTTAATTATTATTCTTTTTTTTTTTCTCTTATCCAAACAATAATGATTATTTTTTCTTTTCTTCCATATTTATTTATTTATTTATTTATTGGTCTAAGAGATAAAAACTAAAATCAAGCACCACCAAAGTCATTTGCATATAAACCCTTTTGAAAGGGAGGGAATATTTGATTGAGAGAGGAGAGAGGACTATTTGAGAGAGCGAATATTATGGTTGTTACTTTGTTGGTTGAGATTGTATTTTTGACCAATCTTGAAAAAAGAAAAGAAAAAAGGAATCATCTAATTTGTCCTTTTTTTAAACAAATAAAAAAAAATAAAAGATGAAATTAATAAATAGTAGATCATAAATTCCAGATTTTCTTGATATAAAACATATGATGTGTGGATATATATCAAGTTAATTGAACACATAATGTTGGTGACACATAATACAACAACAACAACAGAAAAGTGAAAGAGAGAAACATATGATATGATCATGTTTTGCACATGCTTTCATCAAACATTTGTAAGTGTTGAGGAAGCTGCCAAACAGACCCTTCACATGGGGTATGCCATATCCGACCAAAAGTAGTTGCCACATTGGAAACTCATGTGAGCCATACCCCCCTCCCTAAAGTGTGAGAGGATTATATTTTGGAAAAGTCAAGTGGGAAGGTGTATAGTAGTACTTCCACACGGCAAAAAAAAAAAAAAAAAAAAAAGGGTTGTACTTCCATCGATTTGCCTATTTTGTTTTGGTTACATAATTATTATTTGTGACCTAGTGTTGACGTTGTACCTAATAAATTCAGATGGGAAAACTTACTTCAATCAGGTAGATTAGAAATCAAATGACAAAATGTATCACCCCACCGGCCAACTTATTATTACATCACATTTATTTTAAAACTTTATTGCTATATTGATGACAATTTTAAAATAAATGTGACAAAAATGTGTACTACAGAGTAGTAATGATATATGAGTACAGCGGAAGGAAGTTAAGAGTATCAAAAGGGAACCGGTGTTCTAACTTTTGTTCAGCTTGGGTGCCCTTTAGTTGAAATTCATGACTCCCACACAGTTTGTAGGTGTTGGATATTTAAGATTTTGTTATCTTCATCTTCTCTTTCCATATGTATAAATATGCTACTTTCCCATAAATAAACCAATGTTAATTCGTCTATCTCCACATACTTTGACCAGCTTGGTCCAGAGAACATGTTTCAAGTGGAAGCTACATATTCTTTTTGATCATATACATCTGTGGTACACCTAAACACTTATGGATTTGCCACAATCATACATCAAATTCACACATCACGACCATACATCAATACATTCTTTTTTAATCACTTTTTTATCTATGTTTTTCCAAAATGCAAATAGCAAATAGCAAAGCAAATTGCGTACATATATATAAATGCATTGGTGTAAAAGGAAGGGCCCTACAGGCTACAGCCATGGGGTCATAGGAAAGTCCCATTGATTGCAAGAGCGATGAATGGGTCCATTTCAGCTGCTGGACGTCGGTCCCACACACAACAACTTGTCTAAGTTTTGATATTTAAGATTTAATTTTCGTCTTCTTCATTACTAGTATATATATACATATATTGAAATTTCACTGTAGATCGTATTTGTGTCGTGTCGATATAAGGATATTATATTAAATAAGTAAATTCAAACCCAATTTATTTAATAAACGTGTCAAGAATTTTCAACACTAACCCAATCCGTTTATTAAATAGGTACACATCTTAACTCGTTTAATGACCTGCTTATCAAAACGAGACATTTAATATTTAATTAAATACTAAATAATCGAAAAAAATTGTCATAATGAACCTAAATATTCAAAATAAAAAGAAAAATCATAATGCATAGACAAAGTTTATGTTTAAATAACTTAACTATCCATAATAAGTAGGTTTAAACAGATAACATATTACATAGGTCATATTTACGATTATAACATGTTCAGTTAAATGGGTTATAAACGGGTTACACGGATTGAACTCCTTAATCCTAATCCGACACGGTTAAGTAAACGGATTAATCGTTTCGATTCTTTTATGATCCAAATTCAAATCTTTTTAACTCGTGTCATAATTTGCAATCCCTAATCCACATGAACCAGACATATTTCATCAATGTCAGTCATACTCGGACAACATTCTGTTAAACCATTTACATATATGGTCTAACAAACTTATGACATGTACTACAATAATACTCCGTACATCAAATTGACACATCAATACCCCCACAACTAGGATTATGAACATTTTGCATGTTTCATATACAATTTGAAGGTCATTTTGGTCCAAGAAACTTATTACTCGTACTACAACAATACATCAAATTGACACATCAATACCCCCACAACTAGGATTATGAATATTTTGCATGTTTCATATACAATTTGTAGGTCATTTTGGTCCAAAAAACAATTGATACAAAAAGATATTCTTTGCTTTCATGAAGGTTAGTTAGTCGGTGTTAGTTAGTCGGTCTACTTTTTCGGTTAGATTAACATGATTTTTTTAACAAAAATCTATCCAAAACCAGAATGAAGGGTTAGTGGTACCCTAAACAGAAGTGGATTAGCTTATTTTCCGGATCTTGGTACTTAAAATTGGATCAGAAACAAAAAATGGATAATTTTAGCAAGACAACTTGTCCCTTAACAAAATCTCATTAATTACAACCATTTTTATACCTCGCCACCACTCACTGCAACTATCTCTATCCTAATATCCTTTCTTAATCTTCTTCGATCTTCTTCTCCTGCACCCACTCTCACATCACATGAAAATAATAATTCAACCAAATTAATATTTTCTTTTACTCCTCATTCCCTCCAATCCTCTTCATCTATCACCACCATGGCTCTCAATTGCTTGACATGCCAGGGCATGAAAAGGGTTGACTCAGACAAGGATTTTAGGGAGAGTTGTGGTCATGACAAACCCTATTTTAGGCTATCTTGGTCCATGGTTGAGAGAAGCTTTTCCGGCAACTTAGGGCCGCCTGGTCCTTGTAACAAAATGAAAAATGATCAGCCACCTTTGGTGGCTGCCAAGAGGGTGAAGAAGGGTCGACACCGGATCCATAACAGCGAACCTGTTAACTTCCCCGGGAGCTCGCCCAGGTTGGTGAGGAGCTGTGGGATGAGAAGGGATTGGAGCTTTGAGGATCTGAGGCAAAGAATGGACATGGCAAGATAAAATAGATCGACCTACCAATGAACATTACTTCAAATGGTACAATTTCTCCTTTTCAAAAGAAGGTTGAGTGTTCGAAACCTTCCTGTTAGGGATTATATTGTGGGAGTGTGTGCGTTTACTTAAATTTTGGAAGAAAATGATAAAAGTAGGGGATATTGGGATATATATTGCTGCTTTTTGCTTTTTTTTTTTTTTTCGTCTGAGTGTTTGTTTTTCTTTAAATTGTGTTGAGTAAGGAAATTACAGGTGTATTACTATTTGAATTTGATCTATGGGTGGAGGCCGAGGGTGTCAGCATCTTAAGATAATGTGGATAGTATAATGTATTGATTGAATATTATTAATGATAATCATTAAATTGTTTCTATTTTTGCGACCTAGCTAGTAGAACTCACAACTCTAATTGTCTGGATTTGCATGCACTGTCATAGTTTTTCATAGACCTAGCTAGTAGAACTCACAACTCTAATTGTCTGGATTTGCATGCACTGTCATAGTTTTTCATATTTGATAGCTCTCTCTCTCTCTCTCTCTCTACATACACACACAAGGTCAAAACCTGACACTTCAAAATGTACAAAAAAACACTATTTCACTAAACTATCAAGGCAACTGCTTAGTTCTCTATTACTTCAGCATTTTTTTTTTTTTTTTTTTGTGATAATTGGGTCGAATGTTATGTTAGTCATATTTGTGCCCTTCTTTTTTATTTTCTTAGCTTTTGTTTGCAGGTTGATGTTAGATTTCATCGATTAATAATATTCTAAAAAATTCATGATCTATTTGAGGATAAAGCGAGGTGGGAGAGATTAAGGATAACGTTAATTGCTCATAGATTTATATAAATTAGGTATTATACTTTGTTTAATTTATTTGCTCGATTAATGTACACATTCGCATAAGTTGGAATATTACAATATAAGAAAGACGAACAATTCTTAATACGGAATATTTTATTTTTAGCCCGAAGGATAATTTGGTAGAGTTAATTTGGTGAACTATTATGTTGCTATTAGGAACTCGAATTTCTAATTTTACTCTGTTGTGGTATTGAAGATGAGTTTTTATATATTTGAATAACTAACAAAATTTCCCATTGATAAATTTTATTGTAGTCTCACATTGCTGAGCGGTACAAATCGTGTTGGCTTGACAATTATTTTTTTAAAAAAATTGTGTTACTAATTTGGCGTTACACAAAACTGCAGTTGGTACGAGTTTATTAGACAGTATTTTGGATTTTATTTGATATGACTAAATTACTACTTGGTCAATGCGTTTAAAAAAAATGTAACAAAAAAGGGTTAAAAACATGAGTTGAAATACATTTTAATTTTAGGATATGTTATTGCTAAACGTTTAATGAGTTTGAAGTGAAATCGCATTTTTTCAATTCCAAGGAATTAATTCGGTCTTGTTTTGTTCTATAAATTATTATTTTTATATTTTCTAGACTTAAATATACATCTATGACAGTTATTATTATTATTTTTTTCAAATCAAAATCGTGGACATGTTTTTATTATGTTGTAACCATCAAATAGATGATGGACAACAAACCCCCCGTTTACAAAATCTAACCAGCTTAGCAGATTTTCAAGTAATTTTTTAAATGACAATTGCATAATTTTTTTGCAATGTGATTCATTAATTTGTATATTTAAATGATTGGATTGACAAGTTCCATAATAGACGTTTGAGAGCACTCGTATTTTTATTTTTTTACAAAAATAATAGCGAAACCTATGAAAAAGTTCCATAATAGACGTGTGGTTCTCGGGCACTGGCGCAGTTTTATACACCCCTTCTCCGGACCTGCACCCATATGGGAGGACCGTGGACTAAAAAAACATACCAGTTCCTCCGAGGACCCACATGGAAGGACCCCCCAAGACCATTGGACTAAAAAATAAAAATGGAAGTAATATATAACTTAACAACTAGCCTTCCCACGTACCACCACTTTTTTCTTCTTTTTGGTTATTTCAAAAATAATTTTTAGAGGAAGTTATTTGTATTTTTTTTATTTTTTATAACAAATGGCATTACTTGATACAATATAATACATATATATTAAATTATATTTTGAGCAAATTTCTTCTAAACCATTGAGAAGCTTAATACTATATAAATGAGAAATAAAATAACAATTTTTGGATATTCTAAGATTGTAAATAATTTTAAAACAGCTAATTTCATTTAATTAGACTCAAATTTATTATTATTCAAAATTGAACAATGTATAGAAGCTGATTTGGACAACAAATACACATGGATCACTTGATGAAATGGAATATATATATACATATAATTAACTTTATTGTACTATTTTATTGCCAATCCTAACAACATGGGCTTGTGAGTTGTGACCAAAATTGCGAGCAACGGTTTCTCCGAGTTAAAGAGGACCCAAATCCTGATAGGTAATTTTTTTTGCCAATAACCAATACATCCTTCAAGCTGCTAGTTTTGTACCACTGCACCAAATAAATTTATTTCTCTGAAAATAATTTATACAGTTGCTATGATCATAAAAGAATGCAAATAACAAATCAAATATGCATATATATATATACTACACACACAATATAATTTTCAATTAAGTAGACACTAAAAGTTCATGAACTTTTATTTTGATAAATTGACCCATCAAATATGGGTCTCATGTTTAATTAAATTATCTAATTGGCCCAAACTTGGTTAATTAAAATTATTTAATTAGCCCAGTTCAAGTGATTAAATAAAAAGATGATTATTCTTAATAAAATATATTTGAAATAATTATTTTTATAGATAATTATTACAATATAATCGGTCCGGCCAAGTTATAATTATGTCCTTATCAAGAGATGAGGCATGTCATCATCCTATTAAGCCTATAAATATAGGTATGGAGGAAGGAGGAAGAGGACCAGAAATTCAGAGAATAAGAAGTCCAGAATTTCAGAAAAACAAAGAACAACAAGCACTTCTAAAGTTGTGTCGTTCTTCCTCAATTTGAACAAAGAACAACAAGAACATCAAAATTATGCCGTTCTTTCTCCGTGATTCAACAAGTTTAAAGAATAACCAAAGAATACTGTTCAAAATCAAGATTCGTCAGCTCTCGATCAGAAATTATCGGCGATCTTCATCAAGTACCATATATATAAATTTCGATCAAATTTTAAGGTAAAAGTCTCTAGTTTTTTATTTTTCGGTTGAATCAGCGTGTGCCTATTAGAAACTTGAAATCCTCGTAGGACTCTCAAGATCAATTTTTGTAGATTTCAATATTAACAAAATTTCACATTGATAAAATACACAATAACCTTCTTCTTAATAGTTAACATTATTGTACAGTCACAGATTTCAGTAGCATAGGCTTGTGATCATGCGGAGCATTAAAGTGGTTGGATGTTGGTCATTGGAGTGCTTCAATGCACCCCTCTCACGAGGACCCGAACAGGGGCAAAAATTCAGGGTCAAAGACGGAAGACAGTTTTCTAAAAGTGTTCGTGCTTTATAGATTAGAGGTAATCAAATCGGTCTTATTTTATTGCATAAAATATCATTTTTATATTTTCTAGATTGAAATATACATTCAGGATAAATATTTTATTCTATATTGTTTTTTCTAATTAAAATCTTGAATGTATTTTGATGCTTAAGACTGTGATTCATTAGTCTAATATCAATGTATCAATTTGGTATTTTCAAACACAATATTAGTAGTAAACTTTTATATTGCATTTAATATTTGAATGAATGGTCTTCATTATTTATTTTTTTCTTTCTTCAAACATTTTTTTTTTTTTTTTTTCTTTTGTTGTTCAACTCATTGTGATCTCTCTATAATCATGTTATCCGTTTGATTATATATGTGTTTCGGTGCGCAAAGACATACAGAAAGCAAAAGCAAACGTGTGACTATTAGAAATTTGAATTCTTGTTTTGACTCTTTCAATTTAGAGGATGAATTTTTTTTATAGATTTCAATATTAACCAAATCCCACGTTGATAAAATATATTACAACCTTCTTCTTAATAAGTACTCTTATTGAATTGTAACATTACTGAGTTCAGTAATGCGGTTACAAGTGGAGCATTAAAGTAGTTGGATGTGGGTATGGATGACCATGGACTAACATAACAATATAAAGAATATATAATCTTAAAAAAACAATAATAATAATAACCAATAAAACCTAACACCACCACTTTTTTCTTCTTTCTGAAATAATTTTTAGAGGAAGTTATTTGTATATATATATATTTTTAACAAATGGTATTACTTGATATGATATAATACATATATATTAAATTATATTTTGAGTAAATTTCTTCTAAACCATTGAGAAGCTTAATAATATATAAATGAAAAATAAAATAACAAATTTTGGACATTCTAAGATTGTAAATAATTTAAAACAGCTAATTTCATTTAATTAGATTCAAATTTATTATTATTCAAAATTGAACAATATTGGTATAGAAGCTGATTTGGACAACGAATCCACTTGGATCACTCGATGAAATATTAAGTTATATTTTGATCAAATTTCTTCTTATTGAAAAACCATAAAGAAACTTAATATAAGAAAGAAAAAAATAAATAACTACTTTTCTATATTCCTAGATTCTAAATTATTGAAGATCAATTAAATTTCATCTAATTAGACTCCAATTTTGATTGTTATTTAAATTTGGACAATGTTATACAATCCGAGCCGGCTTGTGAATCATTTTTCCAAAAATTTGTTAATAGTTTGAACAAAAATTCGGATACATCATTATTTAGGCGCTCCACAAAACTAGGGGTGGTCTGAGTTTATTTGGATCTGTTTATTATTGTCAAAAGTTTAATTGGTTTGAGGATTAAGTTGTTCTATATCTTTACATAAAAATATCGTTTTCATTGTTTAAATCGATACACCCAAACGCAACGCATGACTAACTAAGAAAATAAGAACAGATTTAGATTAGACCATAATGATCACACAGGATGATGAAGCCCGCCC